GGAAGGGGACCTCACTCCTCCAACTGTGACACTACCCTGGGTGGTCATGAGCAGTATTAGTCAGAAAGGTTCAGAACTGGCTTGCGGGGGACAAGCTCCCACCTGCCCAGCCCCTCGCAGGCCACTCCACCCCTGGTTCACTATCTCCTTTCAGGTCCTACGAGCATCCTTGCCCCAGCATCCACTCATCTGTGATTTTTTTAGCATCTCTGTTCCCTTATGCTCAAGGCTCGGGGAGTGGGACAGTGTCCAGCCATCTCATGAAGCAGGAATCCTCTGATTTTGGCCAATCTCCTGAGTGAGGCTGAACGGGCCAAGGTGGGCCGTAACGACATGACACAGCCTCATGTGGTCACAGGTGATAAGACAAGATGCCAGAAGCTAGGTACACTCAGGAGAAGCCAGGGTGTGTCTCACCACGGAGTTCACGCAACATCATCAAGGTGGACTGCACATTTACTTAGCACTGGGCACAAAAGGCCCCATGTCTTAGTCCGTTTGAATCGCTATAACAAATATGGCAGACTGGGTAGCTTATAAACAACAGAGACCACTCTCACAATTCTGGAGACTGGAAGTCCAAGATCACGATGCTGCCATGGTCATGTTCTGATGGAGGCCCTCACTAGTTGGTAGCCAGTGCCTCCTCACTGTGTCCTCACGTGGCGGAAGGGGCTAGGGGGCTCTCTAGAGCCTCTTTCATAAGGCATCAATCCCATGCCTTAAGTACCTCAAAGGCCCCACTCTCTGATACCATCACCTTTGGGGGGCAAGATTCAACATATGAATTTTGGGGGACACATTCAGACCATAGCACATCCCATGGAGATGTCCTTGGAGACTGCCCTGACACATCCCTCACATCAGAAATCAGGCCATCCCCAGAGCTTGAGCATTTAGAAAAAGAAGCTGATGCCTTCCCATTTACTCAGAGACTACCCCCCCACCCCGCCCCCGGGGAGGGGGGTCTAAAGTGCTGAGAGGCTCCGCCCTGAGGTGGGGATGAGGGTGGAGGGGTGGGAGGGGAGCTGCCTAGGGTGGAAACAGCTCAGACTCCAGAGTGAGAGAACTGGGTCAAATGCTGGATCTACCACTTACAAACCGTGTCCCTTGGGTCAGTTGCTTCATTTTTCTGTGCCTCAGTTTCCTCATCTGTACAGGACGTAGGGGGAGGGGACGTAAGGAACTGGAGCTACCTTTGTCGAGGGGGAAGCTGAGGGCCGAGAAGATGAGCTTCTTGCCGCCCCCCACCCCCCAGACACCTTTGAGACTGTCCCACTCATCTAAGAATTCATTTTGATCTTGATCCCAAAACATTGTGTTAATAATTTCCATTCTTCCTTAAGCATCCTTCCCTCTAGTCCCACTTCTGAGACCCAGTCTCCCTCCCTTTAATTATTTGGGAAGAGGGTGAGACCTGGAAGCCAAGGTGGGCTGGAGGGCTCCTCCAGGAGGTGGGACTTGCTCTAGGGGAAGAGTCTGATAAGTAAAGACCAGGGGTGTGTTGGCAGCTGCGGGGTGGTGGGCTCCAGTGGGAAAAGCCAGCCCAGAGGTATTGGGAGGTACAAAATATGAAGGAAAGAGTAAAGTTTTGGGTCAGACAGACCTGTGTTCAAATACTAGGGCTGTAGGACCTCTAGTTACCCAATCCCTCTGACCCCCAGTTGTCTGTCTATAAAACGGATGTTACAAAGACCTGCTTTTTAGGGTTATAGTGAGGTTAAAGGATGACTTTTGAGGAAGAATCGGGAACTTTGTTTGGCACACGGTAGGATGTGAAAAAATAAACACTGGTCCTTTTCTCTTCATTCCTGCATGTGAACAAGCCCAGCTCAGGGAGGCCAGCATGTCACTCAGCAGTTCCATGCTCCCAGAACTACAAGCAGTGCAGAGCAGACAGGGGTCTGGGGGAGGTGTTTGGGGGGAGTCTCTCCGTTGATCCTGGGGGTCATCTAGACTGTCCTTGGACAGGGCTGTTCCTTTCAGCATTCCTGACCCATGGCTTTTCAGCCTCAGCTTGCATACTCCCACAGACGGGGAGCTCATGATCACTTTCTGGGACAGGCTGGGCAGCTCTGATTGTTACAAAGGGCTTCCTTGAGAAACCTGCCTCCTCATAATTTCCACCTACCAGTCAGAGCTCTACCTACAGGGCCTCAGAAAATCCCTAGGGTCCAGAATTTTCTCATCAGTGCTCCTGAGATTGGAAGCAGCACCTGGGGAGCTATAGCTGAGGTACAGACAGAAGAGCCAGCAGGGGGAGGGTTTGCTCAGAGAGGGGCAGGACGGCTCTGAGGGAGAAGGGCCAGAACAGGGGAGGGGTACCCCTGGCTTTGTGCACCCCGCTAGGAGGCAGCGTCAGTCTGGTTGCACCTCTCCCCTAACCCTGCTTGGGACTCGGTTCTGGCAGCTTCTGTCGGTGGGGGTCAAGCAGGGGGTGCTCCGGAAACCGGCCTGGAGGGCAGGCCCGGGCCAGGTCTGGCTGAGGCCCCCTTCCTGGCCCGGAACTGGTCCCACTGGCGTGGAGCCTCAGAAGGCAGGCGAGCCGCCGCAGTCCCCTCCACTTCCTCTCCCCCCGCCACGAGGACACCCTCTGAACCCCTTTGGAAGAAATGACGTGGGATCAAGGCCCATGGTTCCCCGATGCCTGCCCTCCTCCCAGCGCCGCCCCTCCCCAAACTCCCCAAGAGGAGACGAGAGACTGGCCCCCCCCCCCCCCCCTCCCCCCCCCCCCCCCCCGCCCCCGCCACTGCCTGGCGCCCGCCCGGAGGCTGTTTTTCCACTGGCTGGCGTGAACCATCCATCTCACGGGTCTGCCTCTTTTCTGGAGTTAAACTTTTCTGAAGACACCACAAGCCCCAGGCCCTGCTGGTCTCTCCGGAGCAGAAGCAAAGCAGGAGGGAGCCCGCCAAGGGCGCGGGCTGGCCCATGCCCAGGAGCTCCAATGTCCTCACCCCACTTGCCCAGCTCCGTGGAGGCCAAGGCCACCGGTGCCCGCAGCTGACCCCAGGTAAGGAAGGGGAACATGGCAGGGCCACTCTGAGGCTGCCCAGAGGTATTGTCCCGGGGAGCCAGGCCCCTCGCTGAGGCCCCCAGTCCCCAGCCACCTGTTTCCTGTCCTGTTTCTGGTGGAGGTCCCATCCCGGGCCTGGGGGCCAGGGGCAGTAGTCTCAGAAGATAGCCTCTTCCCTCCTCTGCTCACCACCCACCCGTGTTCAGGCATCTTGTAGCCCACTTTGGGTGGTTTCTGAACCCAGGGGAGCATGTTAGGAGCCCTGAAGCCAAGAGGGGAGAAGGAAGAGGGAGAGGGGGCTGCCTTGAACCCGTTCACCCCCAGCAATGTCACAAACTCTCTTTCCCGAGGAGTTAGGCTGGAGCCCCTGGGCCCCCAGGCAGTGAGTTAGGGAAGTCAGGTCTCCTCCTGGAAACCAGCCCATCTGGCCTCCTCCGTGGCCACCCAGCTCTGTACCAGCCCGTCCGGCCGCCTTGGCAGTGGTTAGGAGGGGTGGTGGTCTAGAGAGGAGGCATAGAAGGAAATATGGGCAGGTCTGCCCACCTTTGTTTGCTCCGTCCCTCCACTCCCCAGCTGCCTCTGGCCTGAGGACTTTTGTTTTTCACTCCATGGATGGAGAGAAGAACATGGGGCCACACCCTGGCCTGGGTGGGTGGAGCCTGGGAAGGGAGTTGGGGCAGAACTTCCTGGCAGGCTGCCGGCGCATCTGCTGCCCAGACCAAGGCAAAGCAGGCTCGAGAGGGTGGTGGGTATGGCCAAGCCTTAGCCTTCATCAAGGCTTCCTGTTGCTGGCCGGCTGGGTGGGCCCCAGGCCTAGGGACCTCGGTGGAACAGAGCTGCTGGATAAGGAAAGGGTAACGGGTGGGGAAGGGGAGGTTTGCCAGGGCTCTTGCGGATGGGCACAGAGCAATGTCAGTAGGAAACCAGGAAAATAGAGGGCTCACTTAGCTTGACTCACCCTTGTCCACTTCCCAGGCCTCCTTAGGTCATGCTCAAAAGTCCTGTCCAGGCACCTCCATATTTGAATAGCTTTGAGCAGAGCACTTTATCCTCTTGAGGCCTTAGTCTCATGATCTTTGCCAGAAGGACAATCATCCCCCATCTGCCTCACCTCTGGGAGGCACCCTCAGGACTGGACAGGGTGAGATGGAGGGTTTCATATATAGGGCAACTCTCAGGCACTGTTTATTCCCTTTCATTTTCCTCCAGCATTCCTAAGAGGAGAGCAAGGACCAGAATGACTTAGCCTCTTTTCACAGATGAGGACACTGAGGACCAGAGAAAGGTCATGAAGTATGTTGAGAGCCAGGATCTCCTAAACCAGTCCAGAGCCTGAGGTCTCCAAAATGAGAAGGTTCTTAGGAACTCCAGGGATGCTGCACCAGGCTCACCACTGACTGGAGGCCCCTTCCTCCACCCCACCCCCACCCTCCCATATCACAGGGGCAAGACCAAGTCCCTTATCCACCAGGACACCTACTCTGGCTTTTATACCTATGGGCTAGACACCTTGAGGACACACCCTCCAAACAGTCCTAGGTCCCCCAGCACATTAGCAGTACCTGGAATCCCAAAGGGAAAGCCAGTCAACAGCCCACAGTCCCCAGTGCCACAGGGCCAGTCCTAGTCCCCACATCAAAGGAAGCTTGTGGTGATGACGAGAACCTAAGTGTCTGAGGCAGATAGAGCTGAGCTTGAATCTCAGCTCTGCCATTCATATGTGAGCCTGATAAGCACTCACCCCAAGGAAGCCTCCACCTTCCCTACGTGCACTGGGATATCAGAGCTCAGTGCAGGATCCTGACGATGGGCAATGAGGGATGTAAAGCGCCCGACATAGTAAGAGCTCAGTGAACAGTGGCTATTCTCATTCCACCCAGGCCCTGGGACTCCCCGAGTCTCCTTCCTTTCCCAGTCTGACTACGCAAGATCCCCTCGGTCCCTGTTTTTAGAGGCAAATACTGACCAGTCATCTACAGTCCCACAGGAAGCACCAGGCCAGCCACTGCAGGGGATCAAATGGCAAGACTGTGCCCTGCCTTCAGGGGCCCGTAGCCTGTGCGCTTTCCTAGTCCCACCACGAGCCACGGTCCCAGTCTCCTCCTGCCTCCACCCTTGCCATCGGTCCCCCAGCTGACCCGTCACCATGGCAGCCCTGATCGCAGAGAACTTCCGCTTCCTTTCACTCTTCTTCAAGAGCAAGGATGTGATGATTTTCAACGGGCTGGTGGCACTGGGCACGGTGGGCAGCCAGGAGCTGTTCAGTGTGGTGGCGTTCCACTGCCCTTGCTCACCAGCCCGGAACTACCTGTACGGGCTGACAGCCATCGGTGTGCCCGCCCTGGTGCTCTTCCTCATCGGCGTCATCCTCAACAACCACACCTGGAACCTGGTTGCCGAGTGCCAGTACCGGAGGACCAAGAACTGCTCGGCTGCCCCCAACTTCCTCCTTCTAAGCTCCATTGTGGGCCGCGCAGCCGTGGCCCCCATCACCTGGTCTGTCATCTCTCTGCTGCGTGGTGAGGCCTATGTCTGTGCGCTCAGCGAGTTCGTGGACCCCTCTTCACTCACAGCTGGGGAAGACAGTTTCCCACTGGCCCAGGCCACAGAAATCCTGGCCATGTTCCCGTGTGGGGAGGGCCCTGCCCGCCTGTCAGGTTTCCGGGAGGAGGTCAGCCGCAGGCTCAAGTACGAGTCCCAGGTGAGCCTGTGCCAAGGGAAGCTCCTCTTCTTTCTCTCCTACGCGGTGGCTGGTGGGGAGGTGCCGGGATGAACCAATATTAACGCTGGAGTCAGCCCTCAGGGGCTGAGCTCTCCAGGAAGTCACTAGATTATCAGCGTCGGGCATCAGAGTTGGGTAACTATGGGTCAGCGCTTGGCGGGGCAAGGGTGAATGCCATCCCCAATAAGAGAGTTTTAAACATTAAAGGAATGTTCTTCTTGCTCAGACCAAGCCTTGATCCCAGTCACAGATTAAGCCCTTTGCTCCAGCCAGACTGAGCACGGACCCCTGCCATCTTATGAAATATTTGGTGACGACCGTGAGCTGATAGTGGAGTGTGGCTGGCTCAAGGGATGAGCATGTTCCTATTCCAGGAAAGGCCCCTGTCCAGCACTGAGTCAGCCTCAGGCATTGCTGACAGGAGACGAATCCCTTGAGACAGGAAAGGGTGTCCAGTCGGGAGGCAGCATCTGCCGCCCTGATCCTAGCCTCAGCCTTGGCTTAGTTCTGAAGGAGCTGAGTTGGTCAGGGAGAGAGGGCAAGGGCAGAGACCCGGGCAGAAGCAGAAAAGCAGCTGAAGTATTCACTTAAGAGAAGCAGGGCGTGAGGGAGAGACAGGAAAGAGCAAAGGTTTTCTAAAGGGCTCCTCTTGGGTACAGAAGAAACACAAGGAGGAGCAGGGCTGGAGACAGCACCAAAGGAGATGGAACGTGGTAGACAGGGAGAAATAAAATGTATCTGATGACGCTCAAATGCCCACAGCTCTCTGTACAGGCTTAAATGGAGAAACAAAGGTGACCTTGCCTGTCCTAGCCCTCAACAGGCTCACAGCCAAGCGAGACAAGCACATGGGTAATTTCAAAACAAGGCAGAGAATGATGATAAGAGGAACCAGGCCATGAGGACTCAGGGAAGGCAAAATTGCTCCCGGAAGGGATTTTTGAAGGCTTCCTGCAAGTGGTATCTGGGCTGAGCCTGGTAGATTGAGCTGGATTTTGGTGGGCTCAGATGATGTGGAGGGGGCCCTTGGGGCTGCAGGAATGGCAGCTGAACTTGCAGGAGGCTAAGTCTAAGTACAGAGATGGCGTGAGCTCAAGGGAGTGAGGGCAAAGGGGAGGAATTACAGTCAGGAGGGCCTGCCGCCCTTAGAGGAGCAGAATCTGCGGCCAGGCAAGTGGCAGAACCAGCTGTCAGGGGGTTGTGACGTCAGGCTCAGCCCAGCCCACACGCTCTGACCAGCTCCCGCTACTTCCTACTGGGGCGCTGGCGGTCCAGACAGCTCCTCCCTGCCTGCCCTCAACCCCGCCCCTTCTCTGGCCAGCTCTTCGGGTGGCTGCTCATCGGTGTGGTGGCCATCCTGGTGTTCCTGACCAAGTGTCTCAAGCACTACTGCTCACCACTCAGCTACCGCCAGGAGGCCTACTGGGCGCAGTACCGGGCCAACGAGGACCAGCTCTTCCAGCGCACGGCCGAGGTGCACTCACGGGTGCTGGCTGCCAACAACGTGCGCCGCTTCTTCGGCTTCGTGGCGCTCAACGAGGATGACGAGCAGCTGGTTGCCAAGTTCCCAGTGGAAGGCACACAGCCACGGCCACAGTGGAACGCCATCACCGGCGTCTACCTGTACCGCGAGAACCAGGGCCTTCCACTCTACAGCCGCCTGCACAAGTGGGCCCAGGGTCTGGTGGGCAACGGCACAGCCCAAGACAACACAGAGATGGTCCTGCTCGCCTCCTAAGGGTCCTGTTCCCACACCCTTTGCCAATGACACTACTTGGTCCCAAACAGAACCCCACGGCCTGTTCACATCAGCATCAGAGGGGAATTTTTTTGGGGGGCGGGCGGTGGGGCGCTTGTGGGATCTTAGTTCCCCAACCAGGGACTGAACCTGCACCCTCGGCAGTGAAAGCGCGGAGTCGCAACTACCTGACGCTAGGGAATTTCCCCAGAGGGGATTTTTTTTTTTTTTTTTTTTTTTTTTTTCACTTGTGTATTTGGATTTTTCTCAGGCCAACACCCCCCCCAAGGCCCCGGGCTGCAAAAATTTTTTTGTTTTTTTTTTTTTTTTTTTTTTTTTTTTTTTTTTTTTTTTTTTTTTTTTACCATAGCTTTTGGGGGAAACAGGCCAGGAAAAAGGAACACAAAGTAAAACTGGGGAACAGATGTGAGAGCTAGTAGACAACGTGGTCAGCTCCGGCAGGAAGGCTCTCAGACCTGAAGAAATTCCTTCTCCTGTTGCCACCAGCCACATGGTCAACAGCTTTGGAGAAACGACCATTTCCCAGAACTGGTCCTTAATTAACTACAATGTGGATGACCTCTGACTGGAGGACCCAGTCCCACCGGTCTGCAAAGCCCTGGACAGCAGAGCCAGGTGACAATGAAACTCACCAGCAGGCTCCTCGTGTGGAACACTGTGTGTAACTGTATATGGACACCTGGCCCGGTGCTGCTCACCTGGGAAGGAGCCCCCAGTGTACGCCTCTAGCTTTATTTTCTATAAATTTTTGATATAAAGTTTTTCTTAGTATAAAGGACTAGCTTGGTGTCTGCACGATTGGATGGGCCATGCCACAGGGAGGTCATGGGGACAGGCCCAAATCCCATTCCTGGGGAGGGAAGAGGACAGAGACTCTGGGAAAGACTGAAATGGATGGAGGGGAAGGCTGGGGCACAGGGAGAGCCAGGTGTTCCCACACGCAGGAAGGCCCTGGGATTGACTACGTCTTCACTGGGTTCAGTTTTCTGGTTTGATCTGGGAAACAGATGGAACCCGGCCTTTCTCAGATGGAAGCTTGGCTAAAATTTCACGAGTCAGCAGATCCTGCCCTTGCACTCAGTAGGGCAGTCTAGCTCTCGTAACCTAGAGCTAGTGACCAAGAACCAGGACAAGCCCTGCTCTGCCTCCCTCCCATGCCCGCCCCTGCCTGAGCCCATCCACCACCTCTAAAATCTCTGATGCTCTCTCCCTTGTCCCTGTCCTGCTTTCTGGCATATGACTCAGTCACTTCCCATGGAAAAGCTCTGCCCAAGAAAACTTTAATTCCCTTAAGACCAAGCCAAAAATGAACTGGCTTCAACAACTAGCTGGGTGTGTGTTGGCCTCGAGGAACTCTAGAACATACAGGATTATTACTTATTAAGGAGGAGGAGAGACAGTCTTTCTGGGAACTTTACAGGGAGGTGGGGGTATAGCGGGCCCGTCATGTCCCCTTCTCCCTCAGGACTCAAGGAACAACCAGCAAGTCAATCAAGGCCCTCCGCCCAGCAAGCTCTCCTCAGGAGAGCTACAGGGAGCCAGAGAAACTGTGCAGCTCTCCCAAAGCCACACAGCACGTGGATCTACGTCCCAGCCTCACAGCCTCCACAAAGGGGCACAAGGTACTAGCTGAGCTGAGGCTGAGGGAATGCCCAGAGACTCTGCGATCTAGGAGAGCGACCCGCTGCTGACCCCCACTAGCTGGACCAAGAGCCTGCCAGGGCCAAAGTGGGATCCTGACCACAGAGTCCCTGGGAGTCGGCCCCCCCTTCCTGCTCCCCGGGGACCTCCCATGAAGGAGAGACTCTGAGCTTTTCTGGGAGCCCAGGAGCTTACTGCTTGCAACCACTGAGCAGCCCCAGAAAAGGAAAAAGATGAAATAAATTGGTTCCTAAAACGAGCAAAAAGGAATTATGAGAAATCTTAAATCCTCTTTTACCTTGACAGGATTGCCCCAGGATGCTTCAGAAAAAGCAACACTTAAACAGAGTCCTCAGGCAACACAGTTTCTCAACTGCCCAGGTGCCCGAGGGTCGGCCTGGCTGGCCCACTGCCACCAGTGCCCTCGGAGCCAGCTGGCCACTAGTCCTCCCACATGGAGCTCTTAGCCTCCACGTATTCCAGGGCCTTCGCCTTTACTGCCTGCACGTCCTTCTCGGTGCCGTGTTGCTTCTCGTAGTCCAGGTAGCGCTTGAAGAAGAACTTCATTCGCTTGGGGGCCAGGCTCAGGTGAATGACCCGTTCGAAGATGCCCCTGGGAGGGAGAGCAGCCAGTGTCTGCCTCTTGGTCCCCGGCCACACGACTCCTAGCTAGCCTTCACCCACTTGCTCTAAGGCTCTGGAGCCAGGCCCTCTGTTACCCAGCACTATCACTTCTACCTTTATTTATATTCCCTTTATAAACTCCCATCATGTCTGTGGAGAGGGAGAACACCAGCCTCACTTTCCAGAGGAACAGAGATGTTAAAAGACTTACTGGTCTGAAGTCACACAGTGAATCAGGACAAAGCTAATGGGATGGGGACAGGCAATGAGGTGTGGCTCTGTGAGGAAACTGCTTAAAAAAACTCACTGATGGGCTCGGGGGCGGGGGGGGGGGGGGGGGCAACACGCT